CCGCTCCAGAGCCGGCGCCTCCAATGTGGAAGCGGTGGCATGTTACATGCTGCCACAGCCGCATTTTAGGCGCCGCCCCACTGCCGCTTCTTAGCGCCCCTCTGCTGGCCCCCTTGGGGATGCTAAGAGGTGGCAGGGAGACGGCGCATCGAACGCGGCGGCGGCAGCACATAATGTGCCACCGCTTCCGCATTGGAGGTGCTGGCTCCGGAGCGGTTAAATATGGTTAAATCCATTAAATATCAACCATTGCTACAGTCAATGGGTGAACCTGCAGGGCTGGCGCCTCGAACGCCGAAGAAATTGCAGAAGATAGAAAGATGGGCTGAATCAGACATAGCTACTTTGTTGCAAGAGGCTACTAAGGTTTTTATTGGTCGTGATCTTGCAAAATCTCATCAAAAATCTCAGATTATGCTTTCAGCATTGAAAGCTGCTGTGGCTGAGAAAGTAGATAAGCCAGTTGGACTGGTTGCAGCTAAAAATAAAAATAGAAGGGTTGGAGTTCTATCTACTGGGGGTAGATGGAAGCGTCTTGAGAAAGGAAGGAGAGGGTTTCTTTCCTTGAATAGGAATAGAGAAATGAAAGGGAGTAGGAAGTGTTTTGCTTGTGGTAAGGAGGGCCATTTTGCGAGAAATTGTCCTGACAAGCAAAGAATGCAACGGAGGGATCAGAGACTGTATACCCTAATTGAAGATTAGGGGGGTCAAGGGCTCCTGACACTTGAGTCCCACCGGGAGCCTTTAGTAAATTTAAAGATGGGACCTGAGGAAATAGACTGTGTTTTCCTAGTAGACACTGGGGTGGCTAGAACGTCTTTGTGTGAGTTACCTGAGGGTCTTACTCAGGATGAGAAAATGATGATAGTCTCTGGTGTTAAGGGGGAACCCTTTGATGTTGCTATTGTTGAAAATGTCTCTAAAAGGAGAACACTCTGAGGTAACATTGGATGTTTTGTACATACCTGAAGCAGGTATGAATCTTTTAGGATGAGATGCTTTGTCTTTATTAGGATGTGAGCTTAACTTTCCTGCAGAAAAATGCACTGTTCATTTACTGACTGATGAACAGGAGAGATTTATAGATCCTATAGTGTGGGAAGCAAAAGGGAATAGAGGTGTTTTGAATATTACACCTGTGGAGGTGATTTTAAAAGACGGTGTTGAGCTCATAAGGTGGAAGCAGTATAATATTTCCCTAGAAGGGAGACATGGCTTAAAGCCAGTGATAGAGTCTCTATTGAGGGATGGATTAATTGAGCCTGCAATGTCACCATATAATACACCTATCTTACCTGTAAAGAAACCTGATGGTTCTTATAGATTGGTAGCTGATCTGAGAGCCGTTAATAAATTGGTAATTGAAAGACACATTATTACACCAGATCCCTATACATTATTGGGATATGAGCATAAATATTTTAGTGTAATAGATTTAAAGGATGCTTTTTGGACATGTCCTTTGGCTGAGAACTTATGAAATATTTTTGCTTTTGAATGGACAGATCCTGATACACATCGAACTCAACAGTATCGATGGTGTGTGTTACTGCAGGGGTTCTCAGAAAGCCCTAATTTGTTTGGACAAGCGTTAGAGCAAGTTCTTGAAGGGTTTGAACCACCTGAGGGAATAACAGTGTTGCAATATGTGGATGATTTGCTAGTCTTGTTGAATTTCTTAGGACAACAGGGCCTGAGAGTTTCAAAGAAGAAATTGCAATATGTGGAATCTGAGGTTAAATACTTAGGATATTTAATTAGTCATGGAAGTAAGAGAATAAATCCAGAAAGAATTGAAGGGATAGTCAGACAACCTATACTGAAAACTAAGAGAGAAGTTTGTAAAATGTTAGGGTTGTTAGGCTATTTTCGTCTTTGGATAGATAATTATACAAATAAGGATAAGTTTCTCTATGAGAAATTGTTGGATGATGAACCATGGGAGGTTGTATGGAATAGTGAAGAGGTGGATAAAATTGAGAAGCTTAAGAAAGCCTTGATACAAGCCCCTGTACTAAGTTTGCCTGATTTGAAGAAACCTTTTCATTTATTTGTAGCAGTTGAAGATGGAATAGCTAAAGGTGTTCTAGCTCAAGTCTGGGCTGGGAAGAAAAAACCTGTAGCATTTTTATCAAAATTGATGGATCCGGTAGTGCGGGGTTGGCCTTTGTGTATACAGGCAGTGGCAGCTACGGCTACATTGGTGGAGGAAAGTAGGAAGCTAACTTTTGGAAGTGCTTTAGTGGTAAGCAGTCCATATCAGGTGAGAACAATTTTAATGCAGAGAGCACATAAATGGCTTACACATGCTAGATTATTGAAATACGAAGCAATTTTATTGTCTCAGTAGGATTTGCTTCTCTCAACTGACAGGAATTTAAATCCAGCTGAATTCCTTTCGGGAGAGAAACAAGAATGGGATAATATAGAACATGATTGTATTGAAGCTATAGATTTACAGACTAAGATAAGAGAAGATTTGGAAGATAGTCCAATAGAGGGAGGTATTAATTTGTTTATTGATGGATCTTCTCAAGTAGAAAATGGTAAACGTATGAATGGGTATGCAACTGTGAATGGAGATATGTCTGAAGTATTGGAGATGAGCAGATTGCCTGCTGGATACTCTGCACAGGTGTGCAAAGTATTTGCTTTATTACAAGCCTTGAAACTTTTAGAAAATGAAGTGGGTAATATTTATACAGATTCCAAATATGCCTATGGTATTTTACAAACTTTTGGGGAAATTTGGTTAGAAAGAGGCCTTATTACAAGTAAAGGAAAAGAAGTAAGACAAGTAGATCTTATCAAAGCTGTATTAAAAGCAGCTGAAGTTCTGGAACGTTTAGCTATAATCCATGTTGAAGCTCATAGGAAGGGAAATTCCAAAGAGATTTTAGGAAATAAATTAGCAGATGAGGCAGCTAAAGAAGCTGCCCATATGGGAAGAGAAGTGAAACTAATGGTTTTGATTCCTGTTTTGGAATGGGATGTAAAACCAGATTTCACTGATGAAGAAGAAAAACAGATGAAGTTAGAAGGTGTTACTTGTGTTGATGGAAAATGGGTAACAGACAATGGTTTACAAATAGTTAAGCCTATTATGAGAAACATAATAGGAAAAGTACATGAGGGTACTCATTGGGGAACACAAGCACTTGTGGATTTTGTGAAGAGAAAATATATTTGTAGAGGAATATTTACAGTAGCTATGCAAGTGTGTAGAAAATGTATACATTGTGTACAAATAAATAAGAAGATGATGCGTAAGAATATACAAGGAGGAAGAGATTTAGCTGTCTGGCCATTTCAGAGAATACAAGTTGATTATACTGAAATGCCAGCTGTTGGTACATTGAAATGCCTATTAGTAATTGTTGATCATTTGACAGGATGGGTGGAAGCCTTTCCGTGTGCAAGAGCAAATGCACAAATGACTGTGAAGTTAATCTTAGAACAGATAATACCTAGACATGGATCAGTTGAATCTATTGATAGTGATAGAAGTACACATTTCACTTCTAATGTGGTGAAGGGAATTATGAAGGGGCTAGGTATAGACTGGCAGCTACACCTGGCTGGCCACGCCCCTCCCTCAGGTAAAGTGGAGAGAAAGAACCAAACTATAAAGAAACACCTTAAAGAAATTGATGTTAGAATTACAATTACCATGGACGAAATGTTTACCTCTAGCTCTATTGTGTATGCGTACTTGTCCAAGAACGGATGTTGGGATTTCACCATATGAAATGATGTTTGGAATTCCTTATACTGGAAGTATTGGTATACTTAGGATAGAACTTAAAGATATTTGTCTTAGAAAATATATACAAGGACTGTCCCAGTGTTTTTCTCTTTTAAGGTCCAAAGGACTTTTGGCACAAACACCACTATTTGATTTCCAAGCGCATGATTTTAAGAGTGGAGACTGGGTCCTGATAAAGCAGTGGAGAGCTTTGGGAAAGCTGAGGCCTATCTGGGAAGGACCGTTCCAGGTGCTGTTGACCACTGAATCGGCTGTGAGGACATATGAGCGAGGTTGGACACATCATTTGTGTGTGAAAGGACCTGTGGATCCGGTTCCTGTCTCAGGCAGAAGCAAGTTTTAAGAGACTGGACTTTTTATTTTATTTTTTTAGATAGTGAGTTAATGTCTTGTTTAATTTAGGTTTATGGAACTTTGGGTGGAAGAGTTGATTATTTGGCTGAGTGTAACACATTTTTTTCTTATTGTTAGGGATATACACCCTAGCAGAATGTGCACGGCAGTCAGGCAGGCAGGCAAATATGTGAGATAAACGTTTTTGTAGTTTACACTCAGTAAAACAGATACAATGTGCTAGTTAAATAGTTTATTCCAGTAAGATTTATAGCATAGTCAAACAGTCCATATATCATTCACTAGTTCAGTCCATCCGGGGATTATTCAGTTGCAAAGTCCAGTGTCGAAAAAGAGGTCAGTAAACTTACAAATATCAGTCCAGCAATATATCTCTTCGCAGTAGAGATATGAAGAAGTAAAACCTCTTTTCTTCCTTTAGCAACAGCAAAGAACACGCAGTTAACAATCCATCATCGTCAGCAAGCAATCCAGTAAGCCAGCAATCAATCAAGTTCTCTTGCTCCCTCTTATGGTGGTTTTACAACCGCACCCAAAATTACATGCTTTGCAGTTAAAGTGACACACACTTAAACTCACTATCATAGTTTATATATATTATTTTACCAAAACTACGTTAGGTAACCATGTTATTCCTAACACTTATATTGCTGATTATTTTAAGACATGAAATAATAGATTGGTGTACACAGATATTGTGTCCTTTAAGTGCGGAAGAAGATAAAAAAGTGGATGTAAGTCCCCAACGACCGGTTGTAAGTTTTGAAGTGTAAACTACATACGTTAAGGTGGGTGGGGGCCTAGTCCATTTGTGAATATGATGTGGATAGTGATTATTGCCTTATGTGGGGTAGGTATGGAGACTACGGAGATATGGCCTGGTTATCCAGTAACATGGCAACAGTTATGTTTCCAGACTGCACCTGACAGTACAGATTATAAAGGGCAGATATCACTGACATTAATGGAACCTATGGCTGAGGCTGGTATCTGTATAAGATCCACCTTAGATGATGGTTTATATTTGGGAAAATACCCAACATGTAACCGCACATATGATATTGTAACTAATCAGAGGGATTTATCTAAAAGAATGGAACAATTATATGATATTTGTTTTGAGATGTTTGGCAATTATTCTCCTTCTTATATGAGACTCAGAGCTCTGGAAGAGATGTTATTTATGCCATTCATTGAATTAAGAAGTGCTCCGAAGAAGTTAATGTTTTTGTGTGGCAGTCTAGCTATTGCAAAACTTCCATTTACCTGGAGAGGTAGATGTACAGTGGGATATATTGAAGCTCCAAGAATTTTAAGTAGAGGAGTAAGAGATGTTAAAGAACAAGAACCTATTGAGGCTAAGAGTGAAAATGTTTTTCTAGAATTAATGAAAGTAGTTTTGAATAGTTCTTCTTTTTGTGTGAAAGGAGAGACTACAGTTACAGATTTTATGTCTACTTGTTTTATAGGAGTTCCAGTACCAGGAAAGTTTTTGATGAGTGAATCCAGGATTCTTATACATCCTGATGCTTATACTTTGTATAATTTGTCAAAAGTGATTACTTTGTTTGGATCTCCAGTGAAACCAACTAAATGGACGAATCAGAAAAAGTTGGTTACTGAAGTTAAGACAGTATTTCCAGTTTATGATTGTGTAAAGTATAAACTTCCAGAGAAAAAGCATGAAAAGACAGTTTATAATTTTTTGCCCAATGAAGATGTTTTTCATTGTACAGAGATTGAAGAAGTAGATGGAATGACACATGTGTTATATTTACCCAGAGGTTGGTTTATGTTTTGTGGAGCATATGCATATGCATTTATACCAGCTAATGCAATAGGTGGTCCTTGTACAATTGGTAGTTTAATGACCACACAACAAATTCTGTGTTTCAGTCACCAAACAGTCCCCATTGGCTGACTTGTTGCCATGGCTATACCAGTTCATAAATTCTTATATACTGACACTCCTCCCTTTATAACTGGAATAGACAAAAAAACTGAATAACTTAATATTCTTCCCATGGTGCATTCCACCCAATGGCTTGGTCATTATATCTGCCAGTTTATCCTCTGAAGAACAGTGAAGCAAGCTAATTAATTTACATTTGATGGCATCTCTTACAATATTTAATATCCACATGCTTGCTTCTATTCTTTACTTTGTCACCTGTTGTCATTTTAAAGCAAGCAGCATTATCTTCAAACACTGTTACAGCTTCATTTACCTTTATGTTTAAATCTTGTAACAGTTGAACGTAACAAGTTACCTCTGAACAAAGTTCAGATAGAGCTATAAATTCTGCCTCCGCAGTAGAAATGGCTACAGTTGTTTGTTTTCTGGACTTCCAACCAATTAAAGCACCTCCAAATAATACCACAGTCCCAGAATTGGACTTTCTAGTTTTTAACATCATTGGCATAATCACTGTCAACATAACATTTTAACTTTTAACTCTTCAGAGACCTGTATTTGAAGACCCAAATTCACAGTTCCCTTCAAATACCTGAAAATCCTTTTTACACCCATCCAATGCAATTGTGTTGGTGCAGCAGTAAAGCGATTTAAGATGTGTACTGCACAAGCTATGTTTGTTCTGGACCACTGTGACAGATATAACAGGCTCCCAATTGCTGACTGATATATCTCTTGATCACAGGCTTCGCTTTTGATCTCACCCAAATTGTTATGAAAATCTGTGCTCATAGGTGTTGGAGCAGAATTACCATCCCTCATGTTGTATCTCTCCAACAGCTGTTCAATTTTTCTTCTTTGACTGAGAACATAACCAACTTTCTCATTTTTTTGTATCTCTACACCAAGCTAATTTTGTATTTCACCCAAATTTTTCAATTCAATTTTTTTCTCTAATTGATTAGCAAATTTTTTTCCTGTGACACATCTTTTGCAATGAAACAAACATCATCCACAAATGGTAACAACTGACAATCCCCACCTTGTAACTTTCCAGTATATATATACAACCATCAGCCTTACAACTCTTGAACCCAAGACCCTTCAATGCCTTATCTAAACAGATATTCCAATTCCTGCTTGACTGCTTCAGCCCATAAAAGTCCTTGTTCAAATTATACACAGTGTTAGGCTTTTTTACCTTCATACCCTGGTGCTTGAACCATATTAACAGATAACAGATAACAGATAATCAGAGTTGGAAGGGACCTTGTAGGTCATCTAGTCCAAACCCCCACCCAAGCAGGAGACCCTACACCATTTCTGACAGATGGCAGTCCAATCTCTTCTTGAAAGTCTCAAGTGATGGCGTTCCCACAACTTCCGAGGGCAAGGTGTTCCATTGGTTGATTGTTCTCACTGTCAGAAAATTTCTCCTTATTTCCAGGTTAAATCTCTCCTTGTTCAGTTTCCATCCATTATTCCTTGTCTGGCCTACAGGTACTTTAGAAAATAGATTGACCCCTTCCTCCCTGTGGCAACCCCTCAAATATTGGAAGACTGCTATCATGTCTCCCCTGGTCCTTCTCTTTACGAGACTAGCCAAGCCCAATTCCTGTAACCATTCTTCATATGTTTTAGTCTCCAGTCCCGTAATCATCCTGGTTGCTCTTCTGTGCACTTTTTCTAGAGTCTCAACATCTTTTTTGTAATGTGGTGAACAGAACTGGATGCAGTACTCTAGGTGTGGTCTTACTAAGGCTTTAGTTTATAGAGTGGTATTAGTACCTCACTGGATCTCGATTGTATCCCTCTGTTAATGCAACTTAGGATGGCATTAACTTTTTTGGCTGCTGCTGCACACCGCTGGCTCATATTTAGCTGGTTGTCCATAGGACTCCAAGATCCCTCTCACAGTTACTGCTCTTGAGCCTGGTTTCACCCAGTCTATATGTGTACTTTTGGTTTTTCTTGCCTAAGTGTAGGACTTTACTTTTCTCTACATTGAATTTCATTTTGTTAGATACGGCCCAGTGTTCTAGTCTGTCAAGATCCATCTGGATCTTGAGCCTATCTTCTTGGGTGTTAGCTATTCCTGCCAGCTTAGTATCATCTGCAAATTTGGTAAGTTCCTGTTAGGGATATACACCCTAGCAGAACGTGCAACGGTAGTCAGTCAGGCAGGCAGATATGTGAGATAAACGTTGTTGTAGTTTACACTCAGTAAAACAGATACAATGTGCTAGTTGAATAGTTTATTCCAGTAAGATTGTTAGCATAGTCAAACAGTCCATATATCATACACTTAGTTCAGTCCGTCCGGGGATTATCCATTAGCAAAGTCCAGTGTCGAAAAAGAGGTCAGGAAACTTACAAATAATCAGTCCAGTAATATATCTCTTTTTGGAGTAGAGATATGAAGAAAATCAAACCTCTTTTCTTCGTTCAGCAATAGCAGGGAAAACACGCAGTTATCACCATCAATCCATCATTGTCAGCAATCCAGTAAAAGCCAGCAAACAGTGAGCTCTCTTGCTCCCTCTTATGGTGATTTTACAACCGCACCCAAAATACATGGTCTGCATTTAAAGTGACACACACAATCATAGTCTATATATATATTATTTTACCCAAACTAAGTTAGGTAACCATGTTATCCCTAACAGTTCCCCTTCTATTCCTTCATCTAAGTCGTTAATGAAGATATTGAAGAGTACTGGGCCTAAGACAGAACCTTGTGGTACCCCACTGCTTACTTCCCTCCATGTAGACTGAGACCCATTAAGGACTACTCGTTAAGTATGGTTTGTCAGCCAGTTGTAAGTCCATCTAGTGGTGGTGCTATCTATTTCACTTTTTTCTAGCTTACTAAGAAGTAGGTTGTGGTCTACTTTGTCAAATGCCTTGCTGAAATCCAAATGTATTATGTCCACAGTATTTTGCTGGTCTACTAATTTAGTCACTATGTTGAAGAATGAAATAAGATTGGTTTGGCATGATCTGTTCTTAACAAACCCGTGCTGACTGCTAGTTATTACTTTACTTGTTTCTAGATATTGGCAGATCTGTTTTTTTATTATCTTTTCCAGTATCTTCCTGGGTATTGATGTTAGGCTGATTGGTCTATAGTTTCCTGGGTCTGTTTTTTTCCCCCTTTTTTGAAGATGGGAACCACATCAGCTCTTTTCCAGTCCTCTGGTAGTTCTCGGGTGCTCCAGGATTTTTGAAAGATATGGTGCAGTGGTTCTTTTTTTTTTTTTTAATTTTATTAGTTTTTAAAACGAACATAGACAAACAAAACATAAGAACATCAAGCCATCTTCCATATATATACATACAGTGTGCCAGTTGGTTTACAAATTGTGTGTTGTTTTTTTGAAACAAATTTTATTAATTTTAAAGACAAACAAAACATCATTAAACATTGAACACATAAAACCTCTTTCCATTATAAATTTTTACAAGGCAGATAAGACATTATTTTATACAACATAATTCTAATCTATCCCATTTCCATATGGACACATAAATATCTTTTAACAAATTTCTCATTATTTCTCTTTACTCTTATTCAATTACATTTCTTTTCTATATTTATCCATTTTATAGTCATCATATTCATATTTCCCTCTGACTTGTTTACAATTATTCTCATCTAACTTTCCTCCAAGGTTTTATTAATTCTCAAACAAACATAAACACACAAAACACAAAAACATAAAACTTCTTTTTAGAAAGTGGCTTGGCCCCGGATTACCTCTCTTTATACGGACTTCAATTAAATTCATGCTCATCTTATATACCATTACCTATCTTATTTACCATTCTATATCTTCATTATAACTTCTCCCCGCTTTTCACTCTTCTTAATTCTATTTTATTTATTTCATCTTAGTTTAAATCATTATACTTGTATCTTTTGTCCATTCTTTTCCAATTATCCATTTATCTCATTCCCTATAGTAAAAAAAAAAAAAAGATTTCTCCTGAAATCACTAATCGAAGTATGATGCCTTTCTATCGTTCCCCTAGATTGACATTTAAAATAACACCTGGTTCCCAATCTGATTCTGCTTAGTACATTCTACCTACTAAGTTTTAAGAGAAAGAGAAAATAGTAAATCTATAAAATAATTAAATACATAATTAAATATTAAATCTTGTAACATTCCAGTTATCTATTTCAAAGACAAATGCTACAATAATAAGTTTATAATAACATCAACACAATAGTCAATTAAACTCTATATTTGAACTAAATATTTTGAACATTCCCTTAAATATTTTATTAAATCTTATTTTAATCTTTTTTTAGATCTTATAAAATTCTAATTTTCTATTTCTAATACAAATACTACAATACTATCTTATGTACCTTGCAGAATC